CCAGAGGAGCCAGGACAGTGAGGATAAGGGATCAGCATGGTCAAACCCCACCCCGTGCCCAGCCCCATGCTGGAGCCTCACTAGGTACCTTCCACACACTGCTACTGCCAATCCTCACTCCAGCTTTGGGAGGAGGGCTTGTCATTCCCATTTTGCAGACGAGGAAACTGAGGCTCAGAGATACGTTGGCAGACGGGCTGCCTCTGGTCTAAGTGTGGCAGGTGCATCATAAAGTGCTGCCAACTGCCTTGGCCTTCAGAACTACCAGGGCAGGTAGAGGTGGCCCAGGCCTCGAAGGAGGATGAGGGAGGATCTCGCTTCATGGTCAGAAGAGGCCTCCCGAGGAGATAACATTTGAATTAAGCTCTGAATGAAGGACAAGAAATGAGAAGGATCGGGTGAGGGGGCAGAGAGAGAATTCCAAGTCAAGGGAACAAATGCAAAGGTCCTGAGGTAGGGAAGAACCTGATGACTGTAAAAGCCTCCAGGACAGAGGCAGCTACTGTGTAGGGAGAGGAAGAGCATGGCATAGACGAGGATGGGGTGGTCAGCAGCGCCAGGCCACCCAGCGATTCATGGACTGGTGAGTGGTTTGACTTTATTCCAAAAGCAATGGGAAGCCACTGCAGGGTTTAATCAGGCAAGAGATATGATGTGATTTATGTGTTTAAAAGATCCCTGTGGCTGCTATGTAGAGCCTGGATCGCGGGTTAGGGTGGGGGCAGAGGAACCCTCGGGGAAGACTGTTACTGTCATCTGGGTGAGAGATGGCGACAGCTTGGGCTTGGGGAGTGGCCACCGAAGTGGTGAAGTGAGAAGACTTGAGATGTGTCTAGAGGGGAGCCCATGTGCCTGCCAGTCCCCTCTTGTTCTTCAACTGTCACACAACTCTGCAGCCTTCAGGACACTGCTCAGTGTACTCGTCCTCCACAGCCCGGGCCAGGACAGCTCTGCTGGGACCCACCAGCCTGGCCCTTGTGACAGCTCTCCCTTAGCCAGGGCATGGTTTGGGCTCTATTCATTTGTCTCCTCCTCTCAGTTGGGCACTCCCAGAGGCAGCACCTGGTTCTGGTCCATCTGGGTGCCCAGGGTCTAGTACCAAGCTGGTACCAGGGTCACTCCTAACAGGGTTCCCTCTTCCCATCACTAACATCCCTAGCAAGGCCCATGCTCTCCCTGCGTGTGGAGGGCTGGGCGGTACTCCTATACTTACGCATCTCTGCAAAGCTCCCCCGCCAGGCTGGCCAGGCGTCAGCAGCACTTCCTTCCTCTGCCTAAGCCTTGCTCATACCGTCCCCTCCTGCTCCCCCAGGGCTTGTTCTCACAGTCCTCACCTAGACCCCAAACCTTGGAGTCCAGAACTTGACCTCGATGTCCAGGAGCCCAAGCATGAGTCTACTCCTCAACTTGGCTCTTCCACACTTAGCTGATGCCTGACCCCTGGCTGTGACATGCCCAGGTACAAGGATGGCTATGGAGATCAGGAACAGGGAGATAAGAGTTCCAAATCTCTGTAATAGCCAAAAGGCCCAGCATTTTCTTTTTCATCAAAATAGAATTCACATACCATAAAATTTACCATTTTAAAGTATACAATTCAGTGGTTTTTAGTATGTTCACAAGGTTGTACAACCATCACCAGTATCTAATTCCAGAACATTTTAATCACCTGAAAAAGAAACCCCGTACCCATTAGCACTCACTCCCCACCTCCCTGGTCCCTGGCAATCACTAATCTACTTTTTGTCTCTGGATATGCCTGTTCTCGACATTTCATATAAATGGCAAAAGGCTCAGCATTCATCCAGACCACAGACTCAAAGTGGAGCCCACAGAAGGGGCCATGAGAGCAACTTTGCCTTGTATTCTTTTTGAGACAAGGATTTGAACCAGACTGACAGTCCTGCACATCCAAGAGCCTGATTTTCCCTAAGGAATGATGCCTTACTCATCCCAGAATTCTCCCAAAGCCCCGTCCAGGACCAGCTCATTGTCCCCCACCTCAGGTCATAGAGCAGAGCAGAGAATACAAAATAAACAAAAACAAGCATTGGCTACCGGCCTAGGCCAATAACTGTCTGGAATCCTATATTAGATGCCTGACAAACACCAGTCATGAAATAAACTTTGACCTAGTTTCCCCTTCCCAAAACAGAGCTTAAAAGGAGCTAAGTACCAAAAACAAGTAACCTTTTCCAAAAAAAAAATCTTTCTCTCCCCAGTGGCAGTTGGCTGTGTGGTGGTCATTGAGCCCATCGAGCTCCTGGCAAGATCCAAGACTATTTGGAGGTATCCAACGTGGTAGCCACATGAGCATTCCACCCACACATGGGCAGGAGGTCCCTGGCATGGGTTTTTCCATTTGTCTAGGGAGGTCAAACAACTGACTGAAATCTTCAGAACTGCTGAGCACTTAGATCCCCTCAGAGAGGGCTGAGTGAAGGGCAAGGGGGACCCAATTCTAAGACGTGTGGGTAGGGGCTGGGCAAGATGTCTGTCCTCCGAAGATGGGCTCAGGAAAGTGTAGCCGAAGAAACCTCCAAAGTCAGTTTTCCCTCCAGGCCCCCATAAGGGGCTCCGCACTCACTGTAAGACTATCTTTTCTGGTTCCAGACACATGAACCTTGAATCAGATGATAAATGTGCTCCCAAAACATGGGATCAATTAATTTTGTTTTGTAAAACCCAACCATATTTTACATGTCCACACAACTCTTTGAGTAATACAAGCAACTACCCTTACTTGTTATTCATTTCTAACTATCACATTTGCTTAAAAAAGGCCCCGCAGCATTCATTTTCCTCACCCAGTATCACCACCCCTTAAGTCCTTGCCTCTGTCCTTGCCCCCAGCCCCATGGAGCAACTGAGGCCAGGCCACGAAACTTAGTGCAAGTCTGTCCTCCTCCTCCTGTGCTCCCAGAAGGCAGGCAGAGAGAGGGTGCAGCTGGGTGGGGAGGAGGGCAGGGGATTTGCCCCTATGGGAGAGGACCTGACACACAGAAATGCATCTCCTGTAGCCTGAGAAAGACTCCAATGTTGGAAAAAGAATTCAAATCAATGACGGGGGTGGGGGGAAGGGATGTGCCCCCTCCCCCTTGATCCTGACTGCTGGAGTCCTCCGCCCACCTACTCTTTGACTAGAGTGAGCCAAAGGACACCAAATGGTCTCATCACCCACACCTTTCTAGTAAATGAGGTCCTCCCCTCCCTGGGTGCTCTCCCACCACCTGCCCACGTTTAAGGAGCTCAAAAATGGTGCCTTTTCCTTGCATGGCTGTAGAATTAAGAGAGGCTGGAGGGGAGCCTACCCTACTGCAATGTTCTTGGGCCTTGGTCTTTTGTCTAGTCATGGTTACCACAGTGACTCAAGCCACTGTCCAAGCAACTTGCCTGCCAATTGTGCAGCAGTAGTGAGTTCTGTCAACCTGACCCCAAATCTAATCTTATCTAATCTTGTAAAAAAAAAAAAAAATCAAACCCATTGCCATCTAGTTGATTTTGACTCATAGCGACCCTATAGGGTGCAGTAGAACTGCCCCATAGGGTTTCCAAGGAGCAGCTGGTGGATTCAAACTGCTGACCTTTTGGTTAGCTGCCGTAGCTCTTAACCACTGTGCCACCAAAGCATCATTGTTAAGCATCCCCTCTTGTAGGGTGTAGGGTCTCCGGAAAGAGCCACCGCATCAGGATGCAGGGTCAGTGGGCCAGCTCCCTCTCCCACAGTCTTAGAAGGAAATGAATCACCTCACACACTGAACCACTCTGGAGGAGAAAGTCAGATACAGACCACTGAGACCAACATGCTTATTTTACAGATGAGGAAATGGGGGTCCAAAGGGCAAGGTGTTCATTCTAGAGTCGGCAGTCTGCCATCTTGGACTTCTGGAGAGAAGCCTGTATCTGTCTCCTCACCTCCTGCCTGCTGCAGCATGAAAAAGCTCTCAGAAAACAACTCACCCCATTCCTGCTCTGAAACATCCTGGCACAGCCACCCCAGCCTTCCTTTGGGTGACCTCCACTACTAGCCATTCGAACAACTGCCCTGCTGTTTCTGCCTGCACTGGTCTTACATCTGTGCCCAATACCAGAACATCGGAACCCCCCAAACCTTTCATGGAGACTAGCTAGCTCTACTCTCACTCCTCATTTCAGGTCAAATGAGGACAGTCTGAATCACTAATCTGAATTTTTAAAAAAATGCAACATTACACTTCTGAAGCACTCGAAGCAGGCTCTGCACACTTTAGGTCGTCTGCATCAATAGGCAGAAAAGCATGGTTTGGAATGATCATGAAATCTTCTCAAAGCACTGGATATTTAAAAATATTTAATTCACAAATTCATCGAACAGTTCCCTTTACTGACACCACTGATTTGAAGCATCTCTGCAACCCTTCCTGATGTGTTCAAGACCAAGCCAACTTCACAGAAACCTGCTTTCCACACAACATGTTCAGGGTTCTTCTCTGGCATGGGCAGACTCATGCCAATAAGGACAAACAGCAGACTAGAGCATTTCTCTCCTGCACAACCAGGAGATCTGAACCAGATCAGCTTTTCTTGCCATTCCTCTCCAGCTCCAAGGCTCAGGGCTTGGTGAGAGACAGCTAACTGCAAAGCTCTGCACTCTGATCACATTAAGCACACTAACCTCCCAAGGAAGGGGATCTCCACTCCAAAGCTCTCTGCCTCTGCTCAAGCAGCCCCCACCCCAGCATCACCCAGCACGAGGAGAGAGTCTGCACCTGTTTGTGAATAAGCTGGGGAGACAAGAGCCAACAGATAAAGGGCAGGGGGATGTCCCAGGGTGCCTCCTTCCTTCAGCAAAACTCTCCTTTTGGTGCACATCCCACTGCATGTGTTTGGGGAAAAGGGCCGGTGCAGAATTCTCACGTATCTATTTTGTTGTAGACAAAATCACTTCTTGTCCACGCCTCACATACCTGGTCAAGGAGGTAGCAAGCACAGGGTGGGCACTGGCTGCTGGGGCCACTTACCAGCGGGGGCTGCGGCTGGGGGTGCTGCCCTGCTCCCGCGGGAGGTGGGTAGTGCATGAGCAGATTGAAGGCTGAGTAGACGGTCTCTTTGTACATGCCGCTAGCACACTCTGGGGCCTTCAGGCCTGGAAAAACCACAGCTGGGTCAGACACACCAGCCTGGGCCGCTGGAGCTGAAGGCTATCTGCTCTTCAGAGAAAAACTAAGACTTGCCAAAGGGTCCACCCCTTCAAGTTTGTGTCTTGAGAAAGAACAAGGTGAGGGTGCCCAGCACACCAGGTTTCTGGAGAAGGACACTGAGCCCAGGCCTCCCTTAGGTGGCCTCTACTTGACCCCCTCCCACCTACCCTGACCCTCGGCCAAAGAACCTTGGCCAAAGCTTTCTCCTCAAGACAGGGGATTAGTCAGTCACCTGGACAGGAGGGGAGGCGGAGATGGCTGGGGTCTGTTTACTCCTATAAAGGTCAGGGCACCGGAAGTGACTCGAGCTCCCTGTGCCGGGGAAACCCGCCCCCTACCCTTTTGGTTTTACCGCCTCCTTGAGCTGCGGTGGAAGGAGGGGGGCAAGACACCCCCTCAGCCCCCTCCAGTTATGGACGTCGCCCCTCTTCCACCGAGGCCCGGGCCTTAGCGGGAGGAAAGGAGGTTGGTCCGTGCAGAAACTCACCGTCCTCCAGAGACTCTGGAAGTTTGTCCGAGAAAAGTCTCTGCGAAGCGTGTTCCCGCCCGAGCGCCTGGAGGGAGAGCCAGAGGGGCTGTGAGTGGGAAGGATGGGGACTTCGGGGGATGGGGCCCGGGGACAGGAGGGGCTCTGAGTGATGGGGATCCCGATGCCGCGGGAGGGAGGGGGCGGGTCAGTGCGAGCCTTGCGCCGGGGTCGGCGACCGCCTGCGAGGAGCGGGCCGCGGGCTGGCGCTCACCTCGGCCCGGACCTCGGCCTCGGCGCCGGCCCCCGGGACCCCCGCGCCACCGGCCGCGCCCTCGGATTCGTTGACGAGTGACGACTTGAGCTCGGCCAGGTCGCGCTCGGGGCCCGCGGCGCTGTCGCGGCTCTTGTCTTGCTCCTCGCCCTCGTCCTGGAAGGCCAGCAGCTCGTCCGGCGCGCCGAGGTCGTCGCCGCCGCCCGCGCTGCCCCCGCCCGAGTCCAGCTGCGGCATGGTGCGCTCC